AGTAAGGAAAGGGTGCGCACTACAGCGGCGGATCCAGGATTCGAAAATAGGGGCCGGGCGCAGCCCGAAAATTTGAAAAACGGGGGGGGGGGGCAGGCGATAGTTTTCTGATATTAGGCCTACATGTACGTGAAAATGTACGTGAAATTAGTGGTTTCCAAACAAGGGGGCGCAACAAATCTGCCACTGTATGTAGCGGAATGGGGGGGGGGGGGTATAGACACACTATGCTATGGCTCTGTTTAACACTAACTTTTGTCGGCTAGTACCAAGGGTTGAAAATTCAACAAAATACACTGTTGGTCATAAAGGTGGAATATTTATTTTTACCCCAGTTTAGGGAAGGATTTTTAAAAATTATTTATTTCTAATAGATCTAGATAATGGCATACATTCTCAGATTTTATTGAATACTAATTTGCGAGTATTTGTTTTGCGTGACTGCTTCATCATATGTGTGTTACTATGCTAATCAGCTAAGGGACCTACGTCCTTAAGTCTTGATTGACATTAATGAGGATTAATGCCTCACAAAAGGGCACTGATATATAGCTGATCGACACGATTTTTATCCTGGGGCCTCACAGTAACGAGGCCATTGCTTAGCCCCTGAATCATGACTGTACGCAGTGTTTGCTAGGGTACGCGGCCCCTTCCACAAATCCCCCAAAACGAAGAAAATGCAATAAATTGTCAAAAATTCATTGCATTTTCCCCCGGCCCCCAACAGGAAAAATTCCTCTGTAGGGCCATGCATTATGGTTCAAGGCATGGCCACACAGAGAAATTTTTCCTGTTGGGGGCGGGGGGAAATTGCAATGAATTTTTGACAATTTATTGCATTTTCTTCGTTTTGGGGGATTTGTGGGGGCGGCCGCGTACCCTAGCAAACACTGCGTACAGTCATGATTCAGGGGCTAAGTAATGGCCTCGTTACTGTGAGGCCCCAGGATAAAAATCGTGTCGATCAGCTATATAAGTGCCCTTTTGTGAGGCATTAATCCTCATTACTGTCAATTATGATTTAAGGACGTAGGTTCCCTAGCTGATTAGCATAGTAGCACACATATGATTTAGCAGTCACGCAAAAGAAACACTCGCAAATCAATATTCAATAAAATCTGAGAATGTATGCCATTATCTAGATCTATTAGAAATAAATAATTTTTTTAAATCCTTCCCTAAACTGGGGTAAAAATAATTATTCCACCATTATGACCAACAGTGTATGTCGGGTTTTTCTTTTATTTCTTTTTTTTTTATTCTGCCGGACACGTCTTTTACTTGAGGAATTTTCTTTCTCTTATTTTTTTAAATTTTTTTTATTGGTCCTTCTTAATTATCAGCTCGACCACTCATTTCTTTTTGTGTTGACCCCGCCCCCCCCCACCCACCCCGCATCTCTTTCATTTAAATTACATGTACATCATGCATGCAGCCCACATGCATAATTAGATTCTGTGATGAAGCCCGGTAATAGGTGGTTGACGTAACACGATATCATATAAAGCAGCATTCAAACCAAATTAGAAGGCCTGATTAGAAAACACCCCGACATCTGCTTTTACAGGCAAACTAAGCCTATGGCAACAGCTGCCCTTTTTGCTAGACAACCCAGTCCCCGTCGCTTCGCGACGGCGCTGTCTATAGTTACTGTTTGTGGTCAATCATTGGCCGCAATTATCAACATATTTGAACAACGGGAATCTGCATTTCTATACAAAGTTCTCAAATTGGCAATCGTTGGTGTAGCTAATTTGGAGAAGTTTGATTGGTTGCAAAGGCCGACCAGAATAGTTCATTTTGCTTTAGGGGTGGGCCTTTGCAACCAATCAAACTTCTCCAAATTAGCTACACCAACGATTGCCAATTTGAGAACTTTGTATAGAAATGCAGATTCCCGTTGTTCAAATATGTTGATAATTGCGGCCAATGATTGACCACAAACAGTAACTATAGACAGCGCCGTCGCGAAGCGACGGGGACTGGGTTGTCTAGCAAAAAGGGCAGTTGTTGCCATAGGCTTAGTTTGCCTGTAAAAGCAGATGTCGGGGTGTTTTCTAATCAGGCCTTCTAATTTGGTTTGAATGCTGCTTTATATGATATCGTGTTACGTCAACCACCTATTACCGGGCTTCATCACAGAATCTAATTATGCATGTGGGCTGAATGCATGATGTACATGTAATTTAAATGAAAGAGATGCGGGGTGGGGGGGGGGGGGGGGGGGGGGGCCGGGGTCAACACAAAAAGAAATGAGTGGTCGAGCTGATAATTAAGAAGGACCAATAAAAAAATAAAAAATAAATAAGAGAAAGAAAATTCCTCAAGTAAAAGACGTGTCCGGCAGAATAAAAAAAAAGAAATAAAAGAAAAACCCGACATATTTTGTTGAATTTTCAACCCTTGGTACTAGCCGACAAAAGTTAGTGTTAAACAGAGCCATAGCATAGTGTGTCTATACCCCCCCCCCCCCATTCCGCTACATACAGTGGCAGATCTGTTGCGCCCCCTTGTTTGGAAACCACTAATTTCACGTACATTTTCACGTACATGTAGGCCTAATATCAGAAAACTATCGCGCCGATTTGTTCCGCGGAACCCGGAAAAAAATCGCCTACCACACCGGAACCGATCGCCTGCACGGAACAAATCGCCTATGACACCGGCCGGTCGTACAAATTAAGCTGGGCCAGGCGCGTACGCAGGATTTTTTAGAGGTGGGGGGGGGGGGGGGTAGGGGGGGGTAGGGGGGGGGGGTTAAAATTTGAAGATCACGCCGAAAATATCGCAACGACTCAGCCAGTCGCTGAATAAGCTGGAGGGGGGGGGGGGGAGTCTCAAAATTTTAAAATTTGGCCGACCGATTTTTCGTATCGTTGGGGGGGGGGGGGAGGATTCTTCAAAGTGGGCCGAACGACCAGCAGTCCACCAGCGAAGAACAGACGCACAGAGTTTCCAAGCTAGGTACTCTTTCGACTCGACTACCTTGATTGATTCAACTATTAAAGAACCAGACCTTCCAGGCGTAAATGGTAAAATTTGACTGAACGGCCAAAAGTACAACCAACAACATCAATATGCTGTTATCTCGAATAATTAGGCAGAGGCGCGAGAAAAAAAATAGCAAAAGCAAAATCAATGTATTGTCTAATAAGCCATTACAAACTTTGTAAAGCATTTGCAAAATTTTTGCAAGAAGGGAGAATGTGCATCTTGTATTGCTTCAATTCCAGTCAAACTTTGAAACTCTGAAGAGAGTAAATACCGATTTAAGGGTACCTAATCATTGAACTTTATGTTCGTATTTTGATATCGCGTCAAGTAAATATTTGCGCTCGATTGGCATGAAATACAAATACATTCACAAGTCGTCAAACCATTTAAAAAGTAAACAGCTTGTTTGTTGCCTGTTGCCATCTTCGTCTTGATTTTTTTAAACTAGAACTTCAAGATACAGCTTTAAGCATCGCTGTGAAACCCGGCCTTTTATCGCGAATCTCGCCATGTCGAATCGTGAATTGCATTTTCCAATTTCGAGAATGCTTCAGACATGTCAGCGATTAGATAATAACATTTTGCTTGCCTTTAAGTTCGAATTTGCAGTGATTCAACATTTACTCCGGCCAAAAAAATGAGATTGGCTTTATTTCGTTAAAATAATAATTATAGCGGCAGGGATAGGGTTGGTATTGGGTTTTAGATTAGATTTAGGGTAAGGGTGAACGTGGATTATAATTTGGGCTCCAGTGCTGAACTGAAAATTCATTTAGGGCAAGATGTTAACACCCAGTATATCACCTGAGAAATTGTCGTTTAACTTTGTTTTGTCGTGCTAGTTTGTGCATTTCCTATATGTTGAAGAACAATTTAGAATGGCACTTTGTTCATGTTTTAAGTAAATAAAACAATAAAAGTGAACAAGCAATTCATAATTCTGTCAACTTCACATTAGAGTGTTGAAGTTTACCGTTATGTCTTTGCTCTTCGGAGAGCATTTACCATTTAACTCTTCATAATGCCTTGATTTAAACAATGCAGGTTGTAACGTGTACATGCTCCCTCCCCTCCCCCTTCTCTCTCTCCCCCTCTTTAGTTATCTCTTCCGTACTCTCTCTCACACCCCCTCTTTAGTTTTCTCTTCCGTACTCTCCCTCTCTCTCTCTCTCACCCCTCTTTAGTTCTCTCTTCCGTACTATCTCTCTCTCTCTTCCTCTTTAGTTCTCTCTTCATTACTCTCTCTCTCTCTCCTTCTCTCTCTCTCTTTCTTTCCATTTCTCTCTCCATTCCCCCCACCTCTTTTTAAATGCTTCTCCAATACACAAACACAAATCTCTGGCAAATGTTCCTCTCTGTTACATATATTGTAATTTATGTTAACCCCCCCCCCTTTAAACCTGCATAATTTGCCACTAACCAATGTTCAAGGCGAGTGTAAAATCTATGTCTCGTCCCTCTGGTGTTGAATACATGCCTGTACCCGTTGATGACAATGGGTTAAATTATACCCTCCCCGCACCTCGTTTAACTTTCGAAAACACTTTGCGCATGAGAGAGATATCAATGCCAGACGAATATACCAATGATTTATTAAGCATGTTTTAAAGCAAACTCTATGATTATCTTCCAAGTAAACTCATATTAAGCTGATGAACAATCTGGTAGAGAAATAAACATTAGTGATATATTGGATGAAGACAATGACATGTTATTAGAAGCTTACATATTCAAAATGAAATCGAAAGTCATGTCACATTATTTCTTACATCATTTTTAGAATATCATCTACATAAATTTCCCCCGCCATTGTAATGACAGTTGCATATGATTTATAATATACAATATAATTTCTAGGTTCAACTAACATTTGCCAAGTGCTATAATAATAATAATAATACATTATATTTCTATAGCGCTTATTACAATGTTTCTAAGCGCTTTACAAAGTTGTACTTAGATAATAATACATTCAATAACTATAATTAATATATACTAATCAACCTACAATTAATTCAAAATACATAAGCGCAAAACATACATTTGCAATTCGAGGATACACAGAAATCAAGAGTTGCTTGATTTGGTAAGCCAACCAAGCCAAGATGGCATTTTGCCCGCAGATACGTCTTCATACTGTACATGCGATTATTTTTGTTTTACGTTAAATGCTAAGAAAGTAATGAGAAGAATGCTAAAGTAATAAATGTTCATCTATTCCGTTTATGTTATTAACATATCAAGTAATTAAGGAAGTTCCTTTCATAGTTAATAATTGCATTCCCAGTGTGTGACCACATCTATGTACAGCCCAATGAGTTTCTGCTAATAAGCCAACTGGTTATAATTATGTTCTACCGTATTGGCCTATATCTACCATGTCTACATCTAAGTCTACTATGTAATCTGTGTAATGTTCCGTTTCAGTTGAAATATGTATAAGGTCGGAATATCAATAACGGTACTAAGAAAAATGACATAAGATAACATATATGACATATGAAAAGATGATATGGATAAAATCAGAATTATAATCACAAACATTACAAAGAACATTATTATCTTGAACACCGAATGCATCATAGGAAAACACGTAGCAAATAATATATGTTCTACCGTATTGGCCTACATCTAAGTCTTTTTTATAATCTGTGTAATTCAAAACATTATAAACAGTTAGAGATATTTTTGAGATATTGTCAAGAAACTGTCTTAAAATAAAAAGTGACACTTGTTTTAACTACTATTCTAAAATGGCGGTTGGTACAGAAATAACAACGAGTGTTGTAGCTTTCTAATTGACATAATTCGATTCTACTGCTTCAAATTAAGATTTTTTGTTTAAAGTATAGTAAATTGTTAAAAAATAATGTTATAGGATTGATCAAACCTCATATCTTTTTGACAGATTAAAGTATAACAATACATTAAAATTGCTCCGGTTATAATATGTGACTTTTGAACTACTAGAATCGATTGAATTTCTATATCCAGATATCTTGCCAAAAGAAAATTCAAAAGTACATAAAAAACATCCCGCTCTGCATGCAATTCGTGTAATATTTACAAAAATTAACAATGTTGAAATGTTGAAATTATAAATGCGGTGTTTGGATACAATATGGTTCGGTTTAATGATCATTAAGGTTATGTTCATGACTCTTTTCAAATATGCAGGCAGTAGATAATGTATTTTTAAATAGTCAACTGATTTACTTTTTTTGCTTGCGACGTCTTACGTCTACAGACGCTTCATCAGGCCGACCATGCCGACGTTCCTCGACCACGTTACCGTGTTCATGGGTCAACAATCATTTGACACTAAAGACTAGTCATCCTGATGAAGGGTCCCGGAGTGGACCTGAAACGTCGCAAGCTAAAATAATGTAAGTAAACCTGACATGATGAAGATTATCTGGTGATTCCTTATAAACTGAATGCTTTCTGGGAAGCATCCATTACTATCTTTACCAGGAAAATGAGCAATATTTTCTCTGGGGATGTATCAGTAAGAACGAGTTGAGAAATCAGATCTTCTTCGTTACTTATGATTCCGCCTACATGGCTTGTATCCAAGGTGGTGGATTCCTCGTTGGGTTTCCCACCATAAGATACCAGAGGGGTAATCTCAGACATGTCTTCAGGTAGGACTTGTATTTCATGGCTTGGCGATTGTTCAGAAGGTTGAATGCTACTAACGTTGTTCATATCATCACCAGGATGAACTTCTTCAGAAGTCACTTCAGATTCATCCAAGTCCTCTGTACTGTGCTCTGGCGATTGGTCAAGATGTTGACTCCTACTACCATCTGTCACGTTCTCCTGTGCTTTGGCAGCCATGTTTCCTGTATGACTATCTCGAGGAGTGTGGTTATTGTTTGCTGTAGTTTCCTGAAGTACCTGGATGTCAGTGTGTCTTTTGGTCGGGTCCTGTTCTAGAGAGGTGTCATCTCTATTAGAGAGTTGCTGATCATTGTCGTCTTCGTTGGCACATTCCGAATCGATCTGTTCTTCTGCTACACCTGACCGGCAGCAAGAAAGAAAAGAAATAATTGTTGTTTTTTTCATCTCAATTGACATCGAATCGGAATTATCATGTGTGCACAGCTATTTTTTCTGCATTACGTCACCTTGGTATCTAAACACATGGGCCGTATTGTACACCAACTATAACAGTATGTTGCTGAAGTGTTGAATGGGGTCCTTATTACGAAACTACAATCGTTATTAAAATAAACTTTACCTTCGCTGAGATACAGGTCTGCAAGGTTGACCAACTTGGCAGCGTGCAGTGCCTTCGTAAGCTCAATCCGTTCATCTTCCCTGGACACACCTCTTCTCCATTGTTTCAGCAAATGGCGAGTTCCATCACTGGTAACACGGTTGAACTTCACATTGGTCATGAGCGCTCTCTGTATATCACCATGTAGGATTCCCAGCTGACCAGCAAGGCTGTCGATCTTGGCTTCATCGTATAGATCGTCAGCTATCTGCTGTAATATGCCCGCAAACTTATCATCTGGGGGCTCCTCTCTAGAATGGTACACGGTAATATAAAATACAAAGATGGGGGCGGTCAGAAAACGTAGGTATGACTTCTCAACTTAGAACAGTAATTAAAATTGTTACTTAGGTAAGGAAAAAAACTGGAATAAGTTCTTTTTTCCGGTGATAAGACCATACTGAACATCCTCAAATTATTTACATAATTTTGGATTCATAAAACATGTCCTGCCATACTTTTAGAACCGTTATTGACAGTCTAGCACCTCTCATTTTACACCCAAAAGTACGTTCCATAGTAGCTTTATCACTATGAGATAAATAATGCGTTCTTTGTCATGTAAAGAGTAAATAAATTGATCTCACCCTGCTTGTATTGAATCACTCGTTCCAAGTCCTCCAGTTGAATTATCCTCAAGTGATGAAGGGCCTGTCAAGACGGAATGAAGTCAGTTTGAATAAGTAAACAATTAATAAGAGAAATAGTTCAAATGATCTTTATCGTTTACTGTATCTCCAAGTGTTTTGTTTAATTCTAAAGTGTTAATAATGCACAAGCAATACATAACTCTGGTTCCATTGCATAATGTAATCGAATGACGTTACTTTTGGCATAGTGACAACAAAAACAAACGAGAAACATACACATTTAGGTTTAGTACTATTATGGACTGTGATAAGCTCGATATTCTGAGTATTTTCAAAGTAGCAAAAACGGGGTAAGGGGCTATACTAAAGACTATATAATCTTGATAAGCTTCACATTACAAATATTTCAAAAAGTGGCAAAAAATGGAATATGAGTTATATAGTATTAAGTATAATAAAAAAAAAAGGAGTTGAAAGGGAGAATGAAAATAAAGTCTTACCACCCTGAGCTTGTTTTCCAGAATTCACCCAAGGAATGAAACTCCATTGATGTGACTCTGCTTTCTTCTTCTGCTCTGCTGATCGTATCTCACTTTCTAGTTGAATTTTAGTTCTCAGCTTCCAGGTCTCACGCTGAAGTTGCTCCAAACGTTCTTTGTAGTCATGCTCCTTCTTCCAGCTTAATTCTATTGACCGTTTGTCCTTCTCAAATCGACCTCTGTCTCTGTCTCTTCCTTTCCTTAGCTCTTCAACTTGCTTGCTTAGAGTCGTCTCATTTCGTTCTTTCTCCCCTACGGTTTCTATCAAAGTGTCTACATGCTGTTGCTTAGAGTCCAGTTTCTTCGTCATATCTGCTGCCAATGAGCGCTTCTCTTTCTCAGCTTTTGCACGGTTTTCTTCTCCTACTTTCTTTAGCTCCTTAACTTGTTGTGTCAGAGTCGTCTCATTTCGCTCTTTCTCCCCTACGATTTCTGTCAAAGTGTCTATAAGCTGTTGCTTAGAATCGAGTTTCTTTCTCATTTCTTCTGCCAATGAGCGCTTTGCTTCCTCAGATCTTCCTCTATCCTTTTCAGCTTCTGCTCTGTCATCCTCTCTTCCTTTCTTTAACTCCTCAACTTGTTGTGTTAGAGTCGTCTCATTTTGCTCTTTCTCCCTTACGGCTTCCGTCAAAGTGTCTACATGCTGTTGCTTGGAGTCGAGTTTCTTTGTCATTGAGGCTACCAATGAGCGCTTCTCTTCTTCAGCTCTTGCACTGTCTTCCTCTCTCCCTTCCTTTAACTCCTCAACTTGTTGTGTAAGAGACGTCTCATTTCGCTCTTTCACCCCCACGGTTTCCATCAAAGTGTCTACATGCTGTTGCTTAGACTCCAGTTTCTTCCTCATTTCTGCTGCCAATGAGCGCTTCTCTTTCTCAGATTTTGCTCTGTCTTCCTCTCTTACTTTCTTTAATTCATGTTTTTGCTTTTCGAGCTCTGTTAACATCTTATGATTTGCTTCTTTCGCCTCTTTCTTGGTTTTCTCAAAGAGCAACCTACATCTTGGATTCGTGCATAACTTCTTCAGTTCTTTAGTTAATAACGTTCTGTCACCTTCATTAAGGCATCCACGTAGCAGGTCAAGCCACTGCAACTTATTCTCATCTGAGCGAATTTCACTATAGCCAGGTACGTGCATACCAGTGATCCCGAGCTGCTTCAATCTATTTCTCGCTTTGGGGATGTCTCCGTGAGAAAAAATAGCAAACAGAGGGACGCGGCCTATTCAATCGAAACAAATTCAATGAGTTAAACTCAACATAACGTCCAAACTCATGATATTTTTATGACATCTACATACCACACCTACGTCACATAATATTCTGTTTTCTACCAGGGGGGGGGGGGGGGGGGTACCACAAACGAATGGAGAAACTCTGAAAATCTGAAATATTTCACTCAAAACTTACATCTTCCTTCATTCATTTAAATTATGCTATATAACTTTATTGGAGGAGCTCGCGCCTTTGAATGTTTTTAAACAGATAAATGGCGCCATACAAATGCTGTGAATCATCATCATCATCATATATGTGTGTTTTTATCAGTATTCTCAGTGGCATATCATTTCCTGCCATATTTAAATTTTAAAAAGAATGGGCGAATTCGAGTGAGAAACGTAGGGAGGGGGAGAGAGAAATAAGGGTGATAAAGGAAGGAGACTGAGGAGGAGCCGGTATAAGAAGTAAATGAAGTGAGTAATGAGATAGAAATACATTTAAAACTATGATGATGTAAATGAAATGTAATATACTTGTGGTAGGAAAATTAGTCAGGACAATCATGTTATAATAGACTGATGATGTTGTTTATGATAAAAAGGTTGAAACACGATTTGGAAATTTAAAGATCGGTAGTTAGTGAAAATTAATTGATAAATAAATAAATGAAATCAAGACCAAGTTGGACTCGATTAAAATAATATCGGTATTAGTGTAAGCATTGCCATAATTATATTTAACTTTAATCACCCCCATGCCTCGGCTCAAAGTTAGAAACCTGTATCCAGTACACGGAAAATGGATATTAAGCACCAAATTGCATGATATAGTATACAAGCAGATAAGTGGAAGGTATATTTCTATTTTATGCTTAATTTATGTTTCATCCAAATATAAAGTCAAAGTCGTTTCAGATATATTATTTATGTTTAAATTATTGACTGTGGATCGTCAGATCATGGCCGTATGTCTCACGTAGATCCATGTTCAGCTGATTAAGGTCAACCATGTCAACACGGGAGCAGGTAGATGTTGGGGGAATGGTACATAGTACACACCATGCCTGTTTCAAATGAATTTACAGGATGGTCTCAAAATCCTAAATCTTATAAAATCACCGTGATTATTCGATTGGTTACCAACCGAGGATATGAGATGATATGAGCATGCAAGCGCGTACACAGGGGGGGGGGGGGTTACCCCCCTTTTGTATTTGCTTGTGTGTAAACCCCCCGTAACCCCCTAAACCCCCCCCCCCTTTAAAAAAAAATATTCCCATGGCTGACCTAAAAAAGGTGACCTTACCCCCCCCCCCCCAACGGAGCAAAATGTCAATTTTTCAAATTTCGAGACCCCCCCCCCCCCCGAAAAAAAGTGTCCTCTTACCCTCTCCCCCCCCCCCCCCCCGCTCATTCGGCGGCTGGCTGAGTCATTGCGAAATTTTCGGCCCGATTTATAAATGTTAACCCCCCCCCCCCCCCCTTGAAAAAATCCTGCGTACGCGCCTGTGAGCATACATATTAACTCTAATAGAAAAAAAAATGAATCTTGTTCAAGCATTTCAATGGATGGTATGATAATCAAATTAAAGGAATCGTTTAACAATGTTAAATCTGAGATACACGGCCCTAAGTGTTATCAGTGTCTGTGATATAGTGTAATATTGAAGCCATGAAAAAATTGCGCTTCAAAATGATCAAGAAGTGCCTCAAAAAAGTAAAAATCTTTGAGTGACCGGTTTTACCATACTCGTTTTCCCCAATAGACTGTAGTGTTATGAAAACCGTCAGGCGGACGGTTTTCAAAATTTGTAATTCCAATCATAAATATCTTGATAATCAGACAGGCGATCGGCTTGTAAAAGTCATGGGGATCCTGACTGACCTAAAGGTTTATAATTATCATTACATCATGAGCTAAATCAAGAATTTTGTTTCAGAATCTGAGACAAAGTTACCGGATCCCTTTAATGGGAAATAGTGTTATCACATAGGCCTATCATACATATTAACACAAGCCTACACAAGTAGAGGTAAGTAACATGCAATTTACTAAGAAAGGAAAACGTATATAATTCACAAAATGAACGGAAAGGGGGGCTTTTAAGAGTCTACGATATCAACGTGATCAGAATTAATGGTGTGTAATTAATATGGATAATATAGAAAACTTAGATCAGAATACTTGATTTCAAAGTCAAATCATGTACTGTAGCATATTTAACTCTACTCTCTATCTATTTTTCGCTATTTCTTGACTTTGACATAATCCCCTTGATCCCTCTTTTTTGTTTTAAATAAATAATTTGAATTTATTAACAACCTAACACAATGTTACAAAATGTATTCAAGTGGGTAACAAAAATAACATGTCGGATATATCCATGTACATGGGTTACAAAGTAAAAGAAAATATCCATAGTTGAACCATATGTACAAATTAAGTTAATCATATATCATGTCATATCAAACCTGTGAATTAGCTATAACTTAATAATTCGTAGAGATGTGTGGCTAGAATTGAAATTCACCGAGTTCCAATAACGTATAAGTGATTCAAATAAAGGATATTTTTAAACTTAAAAACTTAAAATGTTGTTAAAGGGAGAACCAAAAGTTAGCACGAGTGCTAGTCGGGATTGGTTTTTCCGAGTTTCTAAAACTGTATGTAAAGTTATATTAACATTTATTTTGTCTCAATATCATATTATTTGATCCTTATGATTCATCTCTGCTTAGGAGTTTAATTCTGACATTTTGACGAAATGATGATCTTGTTATTTCTTCTCTTATATTTATGGGCAAATTATTTCACAGCTTTTTGTTTCTTCTTTCCCATCTGTACATATACCATATATTCCTACTAAACCTCTGCACTCATTGATGTCTCGATTTGGTGTCTTGGGTTTGTCCATATTAGGTCGCCCTCCCATGGGTGGGTTGTTCTTGCTCATATGGCATATATTTTAACACACACGGTGGCCCGAATTCACAGAGGAGGTTTGTCGACAAACCTAGGTTTTCGTGCGTCATATGACGCGTTTCGACGCGTTTTTTACAAACAAGGTTTGTAAAAAAAAACGCGTCAATACGCGTCATATGACGTACGTAAACCTAGGTAAATCGACAAACCACCTATGTGAATTCGGGCCGGTGAGTTTGTTAGCTCACCCGGTGTGATAGGGATGTGCGCATATTCGGGTATACATGTGTGGTCATCCATGCTGTGGTCGATGCATCGTTGGGTAGTTGTTTTCTGAGAGTATTTTGTAAATAGTTTTATATATTCCAGATTTGTTGTTGTATTCATGAATCAGTTATCTTTGTCACATCATATGAGGGGGTCTTAACTTAACAAGCTGTGCTTCAGCCAAGGTCTCCTCGTCTTTCTTTATTCTACATTGTACTGTTATGATTATACTCTATCATATTTTGTCACATGTGCTTTCCGGAAGACAAATAAACTTGATACTTGATACTAAATACTTGATTTATTATATATATATATATGTCCCAACTTTCTTAAATTTTACTTCATTGTGTATATGTGGATAGGTCATGTTTTTTATGTATATCCTTAATTTCTTTCTTTCTCTCTGTTTATGTACAGGGCTTCATGGTTGAACACGATTGTGAATGAGCTACCCTGTTTTTTAAATATGTGAATAATGATTAACAAAAAGAAATTGCTTGTAGAAATTTGATTATGATATAAATTGAATAATATTTGTTTCTTTCATGTCCTATTCATTACTGATAAACATTATTGTGGAGCAGGTGTCATTTTTGTTAGATACCTACACATTTAATAACAGTGCATATAACACAAAACACCATATACGTAAACAAAGTTAAACAACCTACATAATGATTCATGCGTTAAAGAATTCTGGCTAGTAACATTATTTATTTAATTAATCATTCTTTTAACTAAATAAGGTGGTGTAAATCAACGCCTTGTAGTGTATACTGTGTGTATAAACAGTGCAATTTGTATTAATTCAAAATTGTTTAAAGATAAACATCATATGTCTTCACTTTATGATCCTACCTACCATTAAGGATAAGTGGCAAACTCACCTGTACTCCTCTTTATCATCTCGATCCATGCTGGGTAATATTTAATATAAGATGGGCTGAAGATAAAAATAAGAAAATCCACCGATTCAGAATCGTTATCATTCACGTGGTGATGATTGAAGGGTTAATGATATTAACATGATTCTGCAACCCATCCCCACCAAAGGCCACCTCAAAGAAGATAACGTGTATGTATTTGTTATACCCTACACTTAAAAAATGTGTTCATTGTGTTCTAACACGTTAACCCTATACGCAAACCTTAAGCATATCACAATGAAATTGTTCTCGCTCCGTGGGTATGCTCCATCGAATGTTTGAAGATGCAATGTTTCTCAGCACCGTAAACATTCTGTGTAGAATAGGCATTGGATGAGTGGGCAGGTGCTTCCATTTATCAATGGATGGGGAAGTACTTCTTGCGCCTAAATTACAATGAATAATGTTCAGTAAAGCTTTCAGTTATAACAGGTCTGAAATGCAGTTTCACCCTTCTTTCCGTATTGTATTTAAATGGATGCTACGATCCTTTACATTACACACGCACACCAACAACAACAACAACAGAAATGGTAGGCGTATGTTGAATATACCCTGTCTTTCAGAGGCGTTAAATGCGAGGACCATTAAACATGATTAAGAGGACGGCTAATTCGTTTCTGCCCCTCTTGTAGTATAACGAATATAATTTATTATTGTGAAAATTCAACGCTTCAACATGCAATTATCTGACTTTTTGTGGGTTTGTTTCATTATTTTAAGTGCTAATAATCGATTTCG